TATGCAAATAATTACCATCCTAAATAGGACAAAGGACTGTTCTTTAGCCCCATGACCATCTGTGATCTCACCTCTCCTAACTCCATAGCTGACTCCTGTCTACTTACCTGTCACTACCTCTAGATCACTCATGAAGTCACTGTGGTGGGACTTCTTCCTCAACTACTCCACTGACACAATTCTAGTGAACTCTGTTAACCCTCATCTGTGTGCTGCAGGGGCCTCTTGTCCCATCACGCCACAAATCTCCATTTGAAACTTTTGATTTCCTTGAGAATATCAAGTAGTGGGTCTTGGTTGCTTTGCAATCAGAATTGATATTGCTAGGGCCTCTTTGGTGGAACAGGAGTTAAAGACACAGTGCTGTCGAACTATTGCCAGCCATTGCAACAAGAATTCGATCCTGTCCCAAGGAGATAACCCATGTGGCACCCCAGATCTCTCCCACCTCGCCTGCTCCCTTCACCAGTGTATTTCAGTAGATCTGCCTGTTCTGCTCCCCACTTTGTCTCTGGTGAATCCTTTCACCCCCTGCTCCTCTAGCGTAGACTCCATTTCTTATATGCATAAATAAATACTTTTTTTTTTCTTTGAAAGAATTGATCTTGGCTGACCTGTGGAAAAAAGATTCTTTTGGGGAAGGTTGCAGGCTCTGTTAAGTTGCCTTTTTCCCTTCAGAATACTGATTGGGTTTGGGTGGGCAGTGTCCCCTGACCCTTTCCTAGATCTAAGCATCTTCAGACTTCCTAAGACAGGGAAGAATGGCACACTATTCTGACTTACACTTGCAAGTGGACGCCTGCTGGGGAGGACTAGCCTTCTGGCCTTGAACCCAGCTCTGTGATGGGGATGCCAGAGAATGTCGGAGACATGCTGCTCATGCGGTGAACAGCAACTGTGGCAGCGGTGGCTGGATTGAGGCTAGGAAGAGCCCGGGCTATAGCTCACCTGGTCACTATTCTGTACTTAATGTCGACTGCCTCTCACCCAACTACATGTTGGATGACAAGGTAAGTGTTTATGTATTGCCTCAGCCACTAGTTGGTGTTCTGCTACTTGTATCCCAAAAAGCTGTTACTTTGGTGGTAGACTTAGAACACGATTTGATGGCTCTTAGAATCACAGAAGCCTAGACAGTGAGATGTGGGAAGGGAAGCCATGGAAGGAACCACTGTCTGCCCCACCCCCAGGGACATGTGCGCAGGGCACTGCCTCAGCGCTGCCTGCTGGACTGCCCGACGCTAGACTGCACCCTGCAGCTCGATGATGGAAAACTGTCTCAGAAGCTGGAACAGCTGTTGTGTCACACTATTCTGTCACAAGACAAGACATCGATGTAATGTTTGGTTTTATAGTAACCACATTGAACAAGGTGAAAAATCCGCTGGATGAATTTTCATAATTTAGCAAACTAAACATTCGTATTAGTATTGTAATATATATTTCAAGATGAGAGAATTATTAATGGGGTGTTTGCATTCTTTTTTCATACTGAGTTTTCCAGACCTGATGTGTGCTTTGTACCCACAGTTTGCCTTAGCTGTTCACACTTAAAAGAAATCTTCTACACAGTGTAAAAATCTTATGGGGCTAGTGCCCTATGAGTTAGCAGAGCTGGAAAGTCAGCCTGTTGGGTGGGCTATCTGATAAACTAAGTCTAACCCAGTGACTCTTACTTTTCTACCTAAACTTTTTCATCACTCCCATTGTAATGGAAAAAAGGCCAACCTCCTTAGCAAAGCATAGCTCCTTGTCCCCCTGTCCTGGCTTTCTTCTGGTTCCTACTGACCTGAAACGATGTAGTGTCTTAGATGGATATAAACCAAGTTTGCTTTCTTTTGGAGGCTGGTACTGCTACAGGAACCACTCTGCTTTGTATTCGTATTTGTTTCCCTTTCCACCTTTCTTGCCAGCTAATTCAGGCTCATTTGGAAGGTTCTGTGAAAGCATAATCTGTGGCAGTGTCCTTCGGCCTAGAGGGCCTAAGGTCTAAATACTCCTATTCTCTGCTTGGCATGATACTACTCAGTTATGCCTCTTTTCTCCATTTTCTTGCCATATTTTCTTAAACTTACCCATAGATGGCTCTGAGTTCTTTGATGCTGGGGTACCATCTTATTTTTCTGTGCTGTGTTTTGTGTAATATCTAACTCCTTGTGCTTTTGTTGAATCAAGTTTGAAGGAAGACTGGATGGGAAGATAAATTGGCCCACATTGCAGATATCTTGAACAAAAAGTGTTCAAATGTCTGATGAAGAAATGCTCAGATTATGTTGTTTTGTCTTGTCAGTTGGATAGAAAAAATAACTTTCGGCAATAAATCCTTTGTTATAATCATACTTGTTTGTAGTGTACCACCTTAAAGCATTGCTATTTTGGAGACGATGTGCCGAAATTACCTGATTCCATGACATCTGGAATCAAATGACCTGCCATCTCCGTCCTATATGTTCCTGATGCCGAGACTACATCTGTTCTGTGCCTATGCTGTTCTTGTCAAGGCTAATTCCAAAGAAGCGTTTTTTAGTGTTTCTGCCTAAAGTGGCAGTTGATAAACCATCGCTTGCTTGTTAATACAGTGTTGGAGTGCAGCTATACCATTCATTTACATTTTGTTATCAATGGCTGCTCTTGTGCTTCCACAGCATAGTTGGATGGTGGTGACAGAGACCATGTGGATTGCTAAGTCTGAAGCACTCATTACAGTTTGATCATTTACACAGTTTATTGATTTGTACCTTAAGCACCATTTACTGTTGGCAGAACAAAGCCTCACGTAGTCTCCATTTGGGTAGTAATCTCTGACTAAGAATTAGGAACATTTATTTTGAGGTGGTCACACCTATTTGAGTTTGTGCAATCTAATTGGGATAGTTTCTTCAATTTTCCTGTATTCTTTAGCCATTTTGGCTAGGAAAATTTCATTTTTCTGTTTTTTTTTTCTAGCCATATACATCATTATTCACATTTGTTATTAAACCTTAAATTTATGTAGTTCTCTGTCATATATTTCATGATATATGTACAATATGTAGAATGCATGTATAACAAACAGGTGTATAAAAATACATTTAGAATACATGCATATATACCTGTATATTATGCATGTATTGTATATAGACATAAATTGTAAACATTTTAGAATTAAGCTCCTTAATCATTCAACCATATGCAAAACGTTGAGCTGCCAGAGTCAAGTGTGTAGAATTTAAACTGTAAAAAAGTTCTTTGTTTTGGCAAACTGCTTAGTGTATAGAGGCTTAAGTGCAGGGCTTCCTTTAAAACAGTTGAAATGCCTTTTCCCCACCTCTGTCTTCTGCCCAGGTCTGGGTTCCTTCTGGCTTATCCAGTTCTCACTACTCCCAGTTTTATTGAGATATAATGAACATGTTTCAGTTTGAGATGCTAACATAATTATTTGATATTGCAAGTTGATTACCATAGTAAGGTTAAGTTAACAAATTGTAACTCACAAATTGTAACTTCTTGATGATGATTTTTAAAATCTATTCTCTTAGTGCTAGAAGTATACAATACCTTATTTAACTATTATCATACTATGTATTACATCCCCAGGACTTACCTGCCTTAAAACTGGAAGTTTGTAACCACCCATTTTACCTACTTCCCACTCCTTACTTCTGGTAGTCTGTTCTGTGTTTCTGGGAGTTCGGTTTTGATGTAAGTGAGAGCATGTACTATTTGTGTTTCTCTGACTTACTTCACTTGGCGTAATACCCCTCAAGCCTCACCCCTGTGGTTGCAAATGTCAGAATTTCCTTTTTTGTGGCTGAAGAATTTTTTTTCTCTATATACGCATCCACAATTATAAATAATGCTGCCATGACCATGGAGGTGCAGATAACTCTTTGAAATAATCAATTTCTTTTCCTTTAGTTACTGCTTCCTTAGAAGAAGTGGGATCACTGAATCTCATGGTTGTTCCATTTTAAGTTTGTTGAGGAACCTCCATAATATATTCTTTTTTTAAAAGATTTTATTCATACAGAACTGGGGTACGACCAGAAATGCGGAGGGTGAGAGGATTCACCAGAGACAGAGTGGGGAGCAGAACAGGCAGATCGCCGAAGTACACTGCTGAAGGGAGCAGCGGGAGGGTCAGGAGAGGTCTGCCACGCCATGTGTATCTCCTCCTGGGCAGGCGGGTATCGAACTCATGGGGAAGTGGCTTAAGCTTCTTAGTGCAGTGCTTTAACCCGCTGCGCCACCAGGGAGGGCCCTCCATAATATATTCTTACCACTAGCAGTGCAGAAGGTTCCCTTTTCTCCTGATCCTTGACATTACTTGTTTTTTCTTGTCTTTATGATCAGTCATGACCTCTACTTTATTATAAGATTTTTGAAAATCAGTAGGCTACTGAAGGCAGAGCCCTGAAAATATGAGCTTGAAGTGGCTTGTACTTCACCCAGACATCATCAGGGTAATGTTAAAATTATTTGTTGCCTGATCAGGACCTAAGTCACTCAAATGCTGAGTAGGACTTAAAGACTGGAGTTACTCCTCAGCTGTTGCCTGGTGGGGAGCTCCAGGGGTTAGAAGCTGCTTGAGGCTGGAGGGGTAAGGTGGAAGGTTAGAGGTGACGAGCTGATGCTCAGTCTTGTCTGTACATGGCTGCGTTGATTCAGTTTTTCATCAGATGTGTAAATTACTGTCATGTGAGCATGAGCTGCTATTCTAGTTGTTGGGGGGCTCAGAATGAGTACATGTACTTCTTGTCATCAGGAAGCTAGTAGATTGAAGTGCTTGGAAGAACATAGCAGAAGATGCGAGGATCTATATAAAACAAAGGAGAACATGGTTTTGGAGTGATAAAACAATGAGTGCCCAGTAGGGTTAAAGTGTTTCAGGTAAAAAATACAAACCTTTGGTGTATATTATGCCTTTTATTACTCTTATTTTAATTTATGAAAAATACTTCAGTTTTCATAGCAGTTACTTTGGGGGGATATAACTACATTTCTACATTTCTGTATTTTAGGTTGCCTGCTTGATTCGAGTTCCTTCTGAAGTAGTTAAGCAGAGGGCACAAGTGTCAGCTTCTTCAAGAACATTTAAAATTTTTTCTAACATCCTGTATGAAGAGGTGAGATGTGTTTTTAAGCTTTTTTTCTCTTCATTAAGAAAAATTTATAGTACCTAGTATGAACACTGTGTGTCTTACCCTTAGAAAGAGATCTTAAAGCTAAATTCGATGTCTTATTATGGTAACTTTAAGTGCTAAGATTATCTTTTTAATTTTTCTTTTTTATGTCTTTCTAACTTTTAAACCAAAACATATGGAATGCCACTAATATATGTATAGCCTTCATTGTAATTATTTATATTTCATTTGGAATCAGACATGGAATGAATAGTAAATAATGTGAAGTGAGTAAAGAGTTGTAAACATCACTACAGGATTTGAGGACTTGTGGTTGGGAAGGGCTGTAATGGACTGATTAGTGACCATAGTCGTCATGTTTATATCAAACAGTAATTGCTCTTTTACTGGTTTTGTTAAGCTGTGGGTCAGATGACATTCCTGCTGGCTGACTAGAGTCCATTGAGCTGTCTTTCCTTTAGAGTTTCACAGAAGCCTTTTGTTTTTCTTAGTGGAAATCAATCACATAGAAATGACTCAGACTTTTAGAAAGATTATTCTTAATGGGCACTCAGTCACCTAGGTGAGAAAATTTTGAATTATTAATTGTATGAAAGAGATTAAGAAAGAGCACCCTTGTTAAATCCTGTGGACAGTCAAAGCTTGTCCAGAGGATTTATTGTTACTTTATTGCTAGCTTATTAATGAGTTTTTGATATCTTCTGAATGAAACTGAAAAGTAATTCTATGCTAATATGAAAGGTTAATCAATATTCTTTGTGTATTTGCATTTGGTAATTATTTAGAACGTTTCAAGGGTTCTTTTCAGGGAAAGAAATGTTGAAAGCAGCTACAGCAAAATTAATATGCAATTAGTTTTATAGTTGCCCTCATTTTAAAGGGAGCTGTGCTGTACTTAAAATCAGTTTAGAACCATTGATTTCTTGCAGAAGTGAGTTCACAGTAAATGTTCTAAAACCCAATTTAGAACGGGTTAGACTTTTAGACAGTCATTCAGAAATTCTCTTTGCGCCTCTTAACTTTTTAACCTCTTGGCTTTTTGTTTGTTTTAGGGCATCCAAGGATTGTATCGGGGCTACAAAAGCACAGTTTTAAGAGAGGTAACACACTTAATTTCTAGTATTAAAGTACAAAGGACTGTTGTGCTTTGTTTGGTAAATTTATCTGGAGAAACTGGTTTGAAAATTCAAAAGGGAAATTATGGTCATTTGTAAAAGCACTGTGTTTTGTCTTGTTTTTGACATCTAGTGGACGGATAGGGTGGGTTTGCTGAAGGAACAGTCCAAGTGGTCAGGATGATCCACTCTATAAGCTAAATTCTGTTGTAGTTGAAATATAAGAATGAATGCTAAAGATCAGATATCAAGTTCACTTCTGTAATATTAAGAATTATTGAAAAATTTGTGGCCAAAGAAGCAGTTGTGAGAGCTTGTCTTCCTGATGCCAGCCCAGTGGGCTGGGAGGTTGAGGCTGGCCTGGAGCCCCAGCCCTGCAGGAGCTTGCGGTGCAGTTTGCCAGAGCCAGCCACTTCCCCTCTCTGAACGTCTTGAATTCAATATGTGGTCAATTTTTTCTTTTTTGGTTGAAAAGGCAAAGTGGTTTTAGCTTATTACTGAGGGAGTGTTTCAATTTTAGCCTTATTGAGGGAAGGCTGTTTTGAAGCTTAAAGGTGATTGATAGCAAAGCAAGATGTAAAGAGAAGTTACTGTTTTGGGACATGATTTTTTATGAAGAAAACATAGATGAGAATTGCGTAATTCTGCTCTGTGTCCTTGCTTTCTCCTTGGAAGCTATATAACTTGTTCACAAAAATATGATTAAATATCTTCATAATTAGTGTAATATTGAAAATTTTTGAAACTCCTAATTTTATTTCTGGGTAGTTTATTTTTTAGCTGTTTCACTGTAGATTCCAGTCTTTAGGCAACACACATGTCACATACTATTAAAAGCTTCCATTTTTGCCTGTTAACTATCTTCCATGTAGCACGGATTAGTTGGTGTCGATCTTTGAAAAATTTTTGCAGGCAAACTAAATGTTTCAAAAATAGTTATTTGTGTGAAGATGACTTTCTGCCTTTCGAAAATATCATCCACACTCTATCTTCATTCTATACTTATTTTCTGACTCACTAGACATGTGTTACTTATACTGATTTCACCTGGGTACAGAAAAAAGGGAGGGGGACAAAAGAACCTTATTTTCCTGAGAGATGTTGAATAAATGAATATATGTACACACTAGAGAACACTGGTTTTGCATACAAACAGATAGATAAAGCACATACTTACCGTGCATTCTATTCTTTTAAAAATTTGTTTTGACATATGTCATGCTAGTAATTAATTTCCAGGCTGCAGTTCTTGCAACTAGTGTGACCCAACTGAGATGACTTTGTTTACTCAAAATGGCAGCGCTTTGTTGGAAATTTAATTGGGGTCTTCTGCATTATGCGGATTCATAAAAGATCCTTCAGAATTGATTTTATTTGAAATATTGCTTTTGTAGAGATTGTGTGGTAGAATGAGAGAAGAATTACTGCTGAATAGAACATAGCTTCTTTTCAAAATGAGAAAAATAAGAAGTGATATATTTGTTTTAAACAAAAATTTTGCATTATAAATAGTTTCAATTCTTACTTTATCCTGACACCAATATCAAATCTTTTTGCCAAAAGCTTCTTTGAATGTTTCAATAAGAAAATACATCAGAGCCCTAGTGAGAATCTCCAGGGAACTTATACATTTATTCTGTGTACAATTTTTTCTTTAAAATAGTTTTAGCTTCCTAGCAGCAGCCCATTAGAATGAGATTGAAGTTTGAATCCATGCATTATAAGATAGATTATTGTGCGTGCTTGAGATTTTGTGAATACTGTCAATTTTTTTTTTAACTGTATTTGGTATTTGTGCAGATTGCTTGCTTATCCTTTATGTTCTCCTAAATTATTTTAGTGGCTGTGAATTTTAGACTGAGTTGAAGCAAGGTCAGCAGATTATACTATTTATCTCACCCTTTCAGTATTCATTTTCTTCCTGATGTGGCCAAATTAGATGTGGTCAACCATTGTGCTGTGGTGTTATTGCAATAAGATGGAAATGGAGAGCAAAATCTCAGCTGCTTTTATAGCCAGGCTGATTTCAGAGGGTCCATTGTACTTAGAGTTATATGGAGAACAGTGTCACCATCTTAGAGGTGAATCAGAAGGACTCTTGTAGAGGAAGAAAGACAAGTTTCAAAAGAAGTAGGAGTAAGCTAAACTCTGAAAATGCATTTTCTTCATAGACTTTACCTGGCAGTCATTTAAAAAGTGCCTACTGTGTGTGGGCACCACAAAGGATATTTTTTCCCTAAAAGGAACTATGCTTTGGTGGGGAAACAAATAAGAATGTAGATACTTCAAAGTGCAGTATAACAGTGCCATTTATGTCCAAGTAGGCTGCCAGTGGGATTATAGAAAGAGCAATGGTTGAGAGGTACTCAGTATTTGTTCCATTAGTAGAAATTAATCTTCGCTTAATTCCTTCATTTGTTACTTCTTGGAAGGAGCACAAAAGAAGCAATCAAGGAGACAGGTAGATGTAATAACACGAGCAGTGGTACCAGTGGATGCAAAAACGTGTGTGTACGTTGATTAGCTCAGTAGAATTGGCATATTTAGTCACTTAGAAGGGGCAAGGGTGGTTTCCCTGTACCCCAAGTGAAAAGAGGGTGAATGGTCTCAACAAAGTGGGGTATTTGTCAGGAAGAGAAGTTGAACTTCTCAACCCTGCTGGATGTTTCCCAGGGTGGTGAAGTAGAAAATATGAAGAAAACACTTGGAGGGACAGGATTAGTGCCCTAGAATTTGGAATGAAAATTACTAGTCAGTGATTCTTGTCTATACAAATCTGTCAGGGAGACACAGTTGGAGTATCCTCACGGCAGGTTGTTGCTGTTTTGGTAATGAGTGATTCGTGCTTGCTTTTTGATAGAGTAGCTACTAAAAGAGATTTTGGCAACTAAGGATTATCTCCCCCTCATCCTCAAATTTTAAATCTCCCACCAAATTCTGCTATATATGATGTCAAAATAGAATAATGCAAACAAGGCATTCAACCTCTTTTTTAGTTTATTAAAGCCCTTAATCTCTGCCTTTTGGTGCAAAAGTATTGTTGGGTTGTAAAGTTTACTCATAAGTAGATATAAACTTAATTACTCTATTTGTCTGTCTCAGGCAATGTAAGTTCCCTTTAATCTAGTGGCTGGATAAAGGAACTTTTAGTAATCAAGCCTCAAGGTTTGTCCTTCACAGTCTCTTTCCCAGCTCGGTTGTCTGCCTTCATTTCCTTTTCACCAAAATTCATGTTATATAGCCTGTTTCTTGTGTGTGTATCGTGGTTGTTCTGCTTCTTGTTTATTTAATCATATATTTTGGTGATTATTTTCTATCACTTTATAAAGAACATCTTTCTCTTTTCTTTGATTATATAGTAACCAACTGTACAAGTGAACCATTGTTTATCTAACCAGTCCTCATTGGAGGGCTTTACAGACATATCCCAGCAAATAATATTTTTCTAGTGATATTATACCTGGTTTAGGATGTTTGTAGTTTACATGCAAAAAAGTGGAATCCCTTTGTTAAAGAGTATTGTCATTTATACTTTTGGTATATATCAACAAACTGCCCTTCAGGAAGTATCAGTTGACACTCTGGCCAACAGTTAGGAATTCCTGTTTTCGCCAACCTTACCAATGATACTTTCTGCTTATGTAGTAAAAAAATGATTTCACTCTAGTTTTAATTTTACATCAACGTGGGCTTATTATTGTATATCGGAGAATTATTTTCTTTCCTGTGAACCAATTACTTGAATTGTTAAAGTCACTGAGAAGTAAATGAAGAGATCCTTGTCATGTGCTTTCTGCAAAGTCTGTTGTGTAGTATGCGTTCAGGAAATGTTAACTGGCTTTTAGGGTACCTAGAAACTGAAATGGTCAGGAAATGATATCTCTGTGAACAACACTTTTAGTTGAGTAATTTTCTGAGCCTAGGTTTGCCCAGGTGTGCTAGGGACTTTGCGTAGACTGCTCCCCTGTAAGTCTCATGGCAATCACTGAGACCTTGCAGCAATATATTCTGCATGGACAGTCAGAAGTGAAGAAATTGCCTTTAGATTGTTAGACTCTTCAGTAGGGATGAAACTTTGATGTGTTTAAACATGTGGGTGCCCTTTCACGATGGTGAGTAACAGCTGTTGTGTTTGAACTAGATGCTAGTTAACTATTACTGTTCATAAAACTGCTCAGCTACGAATGGACGCTGTTTTATCCAAATATCTTGTAGAGAGGAAATATGTATTCAGTTAACAAATTGAAACCTGCAACAATTTTATATCCACTGATTACTTTTGTAGGAAAATCATATTGTTTATAATAATGTAGTTATTTTTTTAAAAAAGATTCCCTGTGTGCAGGAACTGGGGTGTAGGCCAGAGGTTCTGGGGGGTGAGAGGATTCACCAGAGACAGAGTGGGGAGCAGAGCAGGCAGAGCTACTGAAATACACTGCTGGGAAGAGCAGCAGGTGAGGCAGGAGAGTTCTGCTGCACCAAGTGGTCAGCTCCCTGCCTGGGGCTGGAACTCAAGCTGTCCTGACTTGATAGCATTATGTCTTTAACCCCTGCACCACCAGGGAGGTCTATATAAAGTTATCTTAATTGATGGTTGAGCTGGTCAAAATTACTAATGTAACTGAGCTGAAAAATTTTATGATTATTCTTTTAGTTCAGGTTGGCAATTTACTTGTGTTCATTTGCCAAATATTCACTTAGAGGAAGTTTTTCTTACTGGGATTGCAACACTTGAATGCTTTCCATTGAAAATGTTTTGTTTTGAAGCCATTATAGTTAGGACGTTCTATTTAGTTTTTACTATCCTTAAGGCTGAGTACTATTACTTGCTTTCATGATAATAAAAGTGTTACAGGGCAACCCAGTGTGAACTGGGCTGCCTGTCTGAGGGTCCTCACCTGCACACTTAAAATTTAATTATACTGCAGGGACACACTAAAAGGGTCAATAATGGGTTTATTTACAAAAGGGGAAAGGAAAAGGAA